TATGTGACGAACAGAGTCACGTGGACCAATCAAATGCTGAGAATTGTACACGCATATTAACTTGCCTGTAAACCATAAACTACGTACTTCGTACTCCGTTCCTGGTATAGATTCTCAATATTATGAATATATGCGTATGCCTATTTCTGTAGCACAAATTACATAGAAAATAATCATGAATTTAACGTCTACTTTACAAAAAATCAATACAGGATGACTACATAAATTCTATTCGCAAGAAAACCAATCCAGGTCTAATATATTGAAACCATTTAATACGGCGGCACAAACCCATCATAATCTGGGTGTCCAATCCCACGACTTCCAGCCATTATTTCAGCAAAAATATCTTTTATTCGTAGTACTATTATATTCCAATCAGATTGGTCGACTCCAAAAGTTCTATGCGCAATTGGCTCGTAAGGTTCAATGTACTTAATATAACAAAATCTCAATAGCCAAATAATATATTCAAGTACACAATAATTAAAAATATTTATTTGATCTATTATATCGGTACTAAACCATTATAATCTGAATAACCGAATCCACGGCTTCCAACCATTATTTCAGCAATTAAATCTTTTATTTGTTTTATCAATATGTCCCAAGGTTCAGATTGGTCGACTCCAAAAGTTCCATGCACAATTGGCTCATAAGGTACAAATATGAATGGTGAGATTTTTTGACACTATTAAATTAACCATAAATCAATACAAGTTTGTAATATAGTTTCAATGGAAAGAGCAAATAAAAATCTGCTTACGCATAAATAATTAAAAGTACTAAAATTTTCATAAAAAGAATTATTTTCAAGATCATTGTCCAATTCCACCCATCACAAATTTTACTGTTTCTATTGTTGTCTACGCCAAATTTTTCAGAATTCATTGATGATTTAGACAAAAATCGTTCCACCATTGTTTCTTCTCGTTCAATTATTAAATTATTCTTTTTTATTTTAATAATTTTGGTAACAAAGTTTTAAATAATAGAAGTTATGAGAAAAACATAGCTGTTTTTATACTATTTCCTCTTAATATATATTTATTTAATCGCATATAATAATTTAAATTGAGTAACAGATCATTTATGAAAAAATCAATTACGAACAAAGCCTTTTGCAATAGTGTGCAAAAAATTGGAACATTAATCTTTGCATAATATTTTATACGTATATAATTGTAACAGATTAGCATTATATATTGTACTGTACATATACATTATGAAGTTTCTTTTTAATGTTTTGTAAAATAGGTAATACGAATAACCACGGTAAAGAGCATAAATTAATAACAATTTGAATTAATCATTTCCTTATTTGCTTATTCTTACGCTTAAACTTTCTTGGAATATTATTGCATAGTATTTATATTTTTTCACATATTTGTATGCTGAAAAAATTTTAATTAAAAAATACGCATATTAATTGCGTAACAGATCAGCACTATATATACGAAAAATATTATTAATCATACTTATCTCAGAGTTTCATTTTAATGTTTTACAAAGTAGATAATACAAATAACTGCCGCAAAGATAGCATAAATTAAAACAAAATTGTTTTAATTATTTCCTTATTTGAACAAGTTCATTACGAAAAAATATATTAAAAGAATCATGTAAAATCTAGTTTTCAGAATTGACTAAAAATTACAATAACAAAATGTCAAGTAAAAAGCTCTTAGCATTATTGCTAAGAATTGTATATTTTCTTTTGTTGAAAAATTTTTATTCAATTTTTCTGACTTTATTTTTTTTGACTTCTTTGATTATTATTATTATTTTTTTTTTTTTGGTGTTAAGGTGAGGCTTTGCTCATATCTTTATTAATAATTTTTTAAAATAGTTACAATGTAAATTACTACAGCGCAGTTACCGAGGCTTCCACTTGTGGTCAGGGCTAACCATTAA